TCCTTTTTGTCTATTACAAGATAGAAATCACATTGCATTTAGTTATAATTTCTTCTTCATCTCCCCTGATCTATGACAATTTCTCAGTTTTTCCTTGTTCTTCATGGCCTTGGTAATATTGGTCAGGTATTTGGGGTTCTCTGATTTTTAAAAAATGATTAAGATGGAATTGTGTGTTTTAAGGTACAGTCAGTGACACGTGACCTTCTCAACTTATATCCATATGGAGGGAGTATGTGCTATTGATATAACTTATCACTAGTGATGGTAATTGTGTTCACATAATTACGGTGCTATCTGCCCGGTTTCTCTACTATAAAATTATTTTTTCTTTCCAGAATACGTTTACATACACACACAAACACACACATATTACATATTGCTTTAGATCCATGCCAAAGATACCAGTTCATCAGAGCAAGCTGTACAGAGACACCAGAGTATCTGAAAAGATACCTCTTGGGATACTATCATAGTTCTTCCTGTAAACCTATTAGTCAAATTTTCTTATACTGATGAGTAGTTAGTCCAATCAGATAGAATTAGTCTTATATTTGATTTTCAAGTGAGGAAAAACACATACCTAGTATGAACATAAAACAAAGCCTGTAGGCCACTAAGAAAAAAATAATGTACACCTGAATCCAATACAGAAAATTAACAGATATAACAAAATATTCTAAAACACAGAATATTTTCTGATGTAGAAAGATAATGTATCTACCTGAGAAAAGCCATGTAGAAATTAAAAGGAAAGACTATCCTTAACAAAGTCAACAACTGAGAACTCCAATTCAGACATAACTCTATAACATAGAAATTATCCTAATATATGAATTACAATTCAGCATTTGCTCAGACTGTTAAAAGAATAAAGAATAATATATGTTATAAACCTATAGGCTTTCTTATATTTAATTTATAGTCATTTTTATATTTGTGTACGTGTGTGTGTATAAATAAAATTTAGGCATTTGCTCTCATTTACAGAAGTTATTCAACACACCGTATTATTTGATTAAAAAAACTGCTTAATTGCGGTGGCTCAAGCCTGTAGTCCCAGCGCTTTGGGAGACCAAGGCAAGAGGACTGACTGAGTTCAGGGGTTCGAGGCCAGACTGGGAAACTTGGTGAGACTTCATCTCTACAATATATCAAAAAATTAGTCAGGCATGGTAGTATGCACCTGTAGTTCCGGCAACTTGAAAGGCTGAGGCGGAAGGATCACCTGGGCCCAGTAGGTCAACACTGGAGTGGCCGTGAGTATGCCACTACACTCTAGCCTGGGCAACAGAATAAGACTCTGACTTAAAAAAAAAAAAAAAGCATACTACAAAGTGTAGAATGTATTACAAATGTATTAAGATTTTAGCAAATAAAACTGGTATGAGTTTAAATCTCTAAAACATTCAGATTGAAATTAAGGGCAACTTTTCCGCCAAGAAATTTTGTCTAATATAAAGTCTGCGTTTAAAATATCAGAAATTGAGGTAACCAATTCTGTTGTCATATAATACTAGAAAATATCCTAAAGAGACTTATCTTGCTATTCTTGGGGCCTTATAATACAGATTTATTTCTGCTTTATTGTAAAGAAATGGGCATCTTATATTTTTAGATGCTTAGAGAAATACTTTTTAATGTTTTCCACCAAATCCCAGGGTTTTGATCTCAAGTGTGTATCATAGCATCAGAAAATATGTGTCCTTTGAAGACTCAGACATATCAGATGGTATCCTAATAATGTATTGTTCATGACTCAGTTATAGATAAAAAATGTGGCAACATGAAAGCAAGGCATTATAAACCCCATGTATCAGATTATCCTTTTGCAGAAGAATAAAATTTAAGGGTCATTAGGTTTAAAATAAATACATAGATAAATAATTTAAGGAAACTCTAAAAAATTAATCTCATGTTCTAAGTAGTAAAATTCTTTAGTATCAGAACAGAACTTAATCCCAATTCTCCAAAATTCTAATATATAGTTCATTTACACATTAAATGCTATTTTGCACTTATTTATGTTATAATTAACATTTTATTTCATAGTAAGAGTTCTTACTATAAAATATAGCTACTTTGATTACAAATTCATATTTATAACCTAAAAGTAGAAAAACAAAAAATAATTTGATAAGATTTATTAAGTGGAGAAGTATAAAATATTTTTTATATAATTTATGTGTATTTCAGGAGAAATTTTTTTGAAGCCTTCATGATTTCTTGTGGAAGGTAGGAAGATGTGTGGAGGGAAAGCCTGTATTATTTCCCTTTCTAATCTTGCTTTTCTTTAGCTATGACAACAAATCAAATATGACACTGCCCTTCTAAGTCAAATGTAACGTCAGACCAAGTTAAATGTAAAGTCAGGCGGAAGCTGACAAATACTCTCTTGCCTCAGATTTAATATAACCAATTTTTACTCATCAACAGTGGATTGGATAAAGAAAATGTACTACGTATATATCATAACTACTACACAACTATGAAGAGTGAACTAATGTCCTTTGCGGCAACATGGATGCCACTGAAGGCCATTATTCTGAGCGAATTAACACAGAAACAGAAAACCAAATACATCATGTTTTCACTGTACAGCTTGATGGTCTATACAGTCAAGATGGGAAGAATGACTTTAAGCAAACAATTAGAACAGATTGCCCTAAAGGAGAAATAAAAGAGGGAGTATGAAATGCATGCAGAGTAGCTGAAACTAACCTAGAGTGATAGTTAAGAGAAGTCAGTCAAACTTTGCCATTTATGGTCCAGGCCAAGAAAAGGAAAAAACGATTCTAGGCAGAGTGGGCAACATCTGCGAAAACACTTTAAAGTGGGGGGGAGGGGCGGTTAAAGGGGAGTATGGCATATTTTAGAGACAAGGAGAAAGACTGGTGCAGGATGGGGATGAAGAATACATTAGGTCCCAAATCACGCCTGGATCTGTGGCAGCCATGGCAGGGCACCACTGCATTTGTCTCCAAAAAGAACTCACTGTTAGGTTGTGGGCCTTGGGGAGGACAGTCAATTGTCATGACCCAGCTGCAAACACTTCAGCATACAGCACATGATGCCACCAAGTCCACGATCTTCCCTGGCCACCTCTGAGTCAAGTCCATGTTTTTCCTGAGCAGCCTCTAGTCTATGACTAAGCACAGTTGGAGTACAAGGCTGTTGCTATTTCTGCCCAATGCAGGGGTCCTCTAACAGTTACTCCAGCCTCAGGATTCCCCACTGGATTGGCAAAGACTTCATCATTTTTGTATTGTAGATCATACTCTCCCCAGACTAAGGCTCTCTCACGATTGGGTTTTGTTGGGTTTGAGATATGATTATTTGCTCTGAGGCTCACTGACTGAATATTGTATTTTAGATACCATCAGTTAAACACAACAAATGAAACCTACATAATTTGCATTCTCACCTTTTAATAATTATAGTGGAGGTTCAGAGCAAATTGAAATACAGCTGTCAAGATTTACAATTTTTCTCTAAGAAACTCAAAATCAGTGATATCTGGATGAAGTAGATAACACTCTGGCTGTTTTCTGTTTTCATTAAACAAATATTTAATTACAACAATGTACTGCTGGAAATAGCACAATACATTTGATATAGTTCTGCAAAGATACAACAGACGAGAAATGTTTCATTCAATTACTTTTGTTGCATTTGCAGACTGAACTACTAGCCAATTATGATAGTTAAACAAGGTTTTTCTTCAAAGAGAGAAAATTATTTACTAATTCAACTTAGTAAATATAATCTACAGTAGATCTTGATAAGCTTTGACTAGGAAGTAAATTTTGTAAACGCTACCTCTCTAACAACTATCCCATCACACCAAATGTTTATTAGCCATGTAAGTTTGAATATATAAGCCATGAGGATTGATCCCACTTCCCACTTGGGTTTAAAGATTCTCTCATCTTCCTCTGCCAGAACCAAGAGTAGCTTAGTAGAGAGATCTTAAGAGTTGAATTCGATGATGTTGGGAAATGATGCACCCCAACCACCAAACTTCCACCTTAATCTTCCTACATGAGAAGGGGAAAAAGTTGGGGTTAATCAGAGAAACCAGTCTGAAGAAAAAGCCTACACAGCAAAGCACAGATAAATCAAGATAGAGTTTGAATTCTGATTAAGCTGTCTCGAGACTACCCTATCTCCTTTGGTTATTGAAGGCAGATTGAAATATATTTAATTATTTGTGCCATGAAAACCATTGAAATATATTAAAATGTTTTCCTAGTTTTCTTGGTTTAAAATTAAGCATCTCAGCTTAAAACTTATTGTTCCAGCTGTGGGGTGGGGAAAGAGCAAGAAGAGAGTCAATTGACATTCTTTGCTCAAGCTTAATTTTGAGAATCTTTATTAAACATACACTTTAAATACTTCGAATACCATTTTAACAGCAATCAAAAATATAAACTTGTGTACTAACTAACCCATGTGATTAAGCATTTGAATGCTAGATGAAAATCATTTTTGAATACCTTAAAGAGTACCTAAAATGCAAAGCAGCAGGCTCTTCTCTGGCTACTGAGAAGCTATTATTTATTTGTTTACATGAGAGTTTGCAATGTTGGCCCATGGGCCAAATCCAGGCCACCTTTGTTTGTTTTGTCCCTACAATATTTAAGCAGACATATCACAATAACATATAAAGCTATTCATTGCAACAATCAACTAGAAACTAGTCACTTCAAGCCAAGAATGAGCTCCAAGTTTTGAATATTTTATGCATGGTCCAGTTTGTCTATTTTATGACCTTGCCACTGTAAGACGTTTAAATTTGCGAACTTTGATTTGAGCATATATGTTAATGTTTTTGGCAGCTAAGTTCAGATTTATTTGATATACAGAGAAAAACCTGTCAGAAGTTTTTTTAAAAAGCACAAAAGTAAATATTCATTTCAGCTGAGTAAAACCTTAAATAGATCTTTTTTTCACATCCTTAGTAATAAGATTTTTAACAACCAAATAGGTATATATCGTACCTTTAGGTCTTTTTCTTCTATCTTCATTTGGAGCATTTTAAGGCACTTAGTAAAGTCAGTGTGGTCTTGATCAGGAGTTGAAATAAGCTCACACCCCTATGTTTTGAAGTAAAAGAAAAATCAAAACTAAGTAATAATTCAGCCTATGAACAAGAACACGAGTGATGACAATAAAGATGAGGTATCTATAGACACATTCTATTATGTCTGAATTATTCTCTATCATTAGAATTGTTATCATTATCTTTTTTTAAATTTCATATCACAGGACATTTCAGGAATGGTGTTAGGTTGTTACAACAATGGGCTGAATAGGACAATCATTTTATCCAAGAAAAGTACAGATTATACTACATTGACAGTATGTAAAAAACACCAATATGATGACATTCACGATTAACATAAGGACTTTCATACATGTATCATAAATTATATTCTCAGTGCAATTACCTGAAATTAAAATGAAACTATATCTAAGAAACCTCAAAGCACTTTTAAGCAAAACTTGTAAATTTATTTACATGAATGGAAAAACTAGTATCAGCAGTGAATTAGTGATAAAATATTACCTTTTAAGTAAAATCAAGTCATCTGTTCTATGAAATTCCTTTATAGAACCCTTTTTCCCCCTTGTGAAAAATAGAACAAAGAGCTACGCCTATATAAATATGACTCTTGGATTATCTTTTGGACATAATGAAGTGAATTTATAAGTTCTTTGGCTTCCCTACAGAAGACACCTTACCTACTGAAAAACACTGAAACATATTTTATAAATATGAAGCCACTAAAGTGCCAGCTTGTTGGCACTAGTGAACTTAGATGGCTAAAGAAACCATATTTTTGAAATGACACCCTTTCCTCCAATGTCATACAGAGGTAAAGGTACGTAAAACCAAGCACAGTGGGACTTCAGACTTCTTAATTCAGGAATAAAACAATTCTTGGACTCTGACAAACAGCTGAGTAAGGGAAAGTTAAATATAATCTAGTATATAAAGTTGCCATTCAAAGAGTTTTCAAGGGTACAAAACACTCATATTGCCTCTTAAATTATTCTAAGAACCATTCTCAGTAGATTTAAAGGTTCTTCTTTTACTTCAAGGTCTCTTTAAATATGTCAAGCTCAACCTGTGCTTCATTCATTTATGACTGTCCTACAATATAGTGACCAATGAAAAAATTAATTTCTCATCATCCAGAAATATATTATGCTCTAAAAGATGTATATGTCATCTTTACAAGACCGTCGACATATACTTTCTTGACCCTAAAAGAACATTGAAATTTACTATAATCACCAAGCAAGGACATAAAGAAATGACTCAGGCTAACATGTCTAAAAGAGTAGAAGCATATGCCAGAGCATACAGGAATAACAGCAGGGCTGAAGAGATCATGCTGTCACCAAACCAAAAATCATTACACCGAAAGTTCCCTGAGGGCAGGAATTATGTTTCATTCATTATTGTTTACAGTACCTGGCATTGATCTGCTACATAGTAAGTGTTCAATAGATGTTTAATTAATAATCTTGAGGAAGAAAATAGATTTTTATAAATTCATTTGTAAAAATGTATACTGGCAAAGAAGTAGAATAGTGTAACAACTTATTGCTAAATATAGTATATACATTGTCTTCTGCGTTTAAAATGCTGGCAAAATAATCACTCACACAAAAGGAAATTAAATTTAAAAGACAAATTAAAAGCAACACAATATATGATTAACAGATTGTTATCTGCCTTCATTGTTGTTTTCACAGAATCAACATAGATACATGAGGAAAATGACAATGAAATAGAACAAAGGAAATAATCCATTTACTACCACTGCAACATATTGTGGATTAAGAAAACAAAAACAAGAGATAAAAATTGACTTGCTGACAATTGGCTGGCTAGATAGTAATTAGCTGCCAAGTTGTGACTAGAAATCCTATTTCTTTACTTGCCTAAAGTAGAGCAAATTCTTAGATTTCCGATAGAAAAATGACAGACAACCATCTCTAGAGTTAGTTCCACAAGAATACTTCCAAGAACAAACAAAGACTTGAAACATATAAGCAAGGCTGGAATATCTTTATTCTATCCTTGTTTGCACTGTACTCCATCACTTAAATGAACACATAGAATAGCTTAGGTCAGCAATGGAAAGATTACCAGCAATGGAAAATTCAGACTGTGTCTAAACCAAGAACTTTTACAAACTCTGGGTGAGTTGTCTAACAACTATTCACAACTTCTTGGAATTCCCACAAGTTTGAATGATACTCATTTCATCACAGATTGAGAATGAATTCACTAAAAATGGAAACACCTCAAATAGCCCTCACAAGGCAGCTTTCAACACTTAGAAAAGAGAGCTGCAAAACAAAATATTATCCAAAGTACAATAGTTGGCCTTTGGCCAGCTAAGGATGTTTTCACTGTTTCCTAGGTCTTAGGGTTAACATATTAAGAAAAGAGGAGAAACAGAAAACTACAGATGACAAATGACATAGATAATACAGAAAAGAATAATGTAGAAACACTATAAGGTATCAAGCAATGCTCACCTATTATATTAATATTTATAATTATGTATTATATAAAATAAAGTTCAATTTCCTAGAGTGTGAAGCCCTTAGATGCTGTGAAAATTTTCACTAATTTGATCACTTCTTTAAAAAAAAACACTCCTCATCTTCATTATCGAAGAACCTAGAAGATGTTAAAGTCACGAAATTTGGCCAAGAAAGTATATGACTTTCAAAAAAGTAGCTTGTAATATTAATTTCCTATTAGAAATGCATATATTTTAAAATTTATAGAAACCTTCCCAAAGCATGAACCACAAAACTCTTTAAAACATTCTTAAAGTACCAATGTTTGAGTGGATTTTTTTTTTTTTTTTTTTTTTGAGACAGGGTTTTGCTTTGCTGCCCAACCTGGAGCACAGTGGTAATATTCACAGTTCCCTGCAGGCTTGACCTTCTGGGCTCCAGTGATCCTCCGCCTCAGTATCCTGAGTAGCTGAGACTACAGATATGCACTAACACATCTGACTAATTTATTTATTTATTTATTTGTACTGACAGGGTCTTGCTAGGTTTTCCCGGCTGGTCTCCAAGGATTCCTCCTGGACTCCAAGGATTCTCCCAACTCCACTTCAGCCTCCTAAAGTGTTAGGATGACAGGTATGAGCCACCACACAAGGCCTTGAGTTGACATTTTTGTTTTAACTACTGCTATCTTTGATATTTCTCAGTTGCATGAAACTTTTTTTTTAGAATACAAAGTATTAATTATGAGCCAGCAGGTGACTCCACTCTCATACCATACATTTTTCATAAGAAGTTTTTGTCACTAGACAAATAGATATTTAAATAACTTAATTCTAATATTAAATTCCCTATATGAATATACCACTTTTCTGAAGTTGGATTATTACTTTTTAATATTACATTTTATTAATCTTGCTTTATACTATAGTTATAAGAAAAACTTAGCTTAATGTCACAAATTTCAGTATGTGTCAATATAAAAGTTATTCTTTTTTTTTTTTTGAGAAGCCCCAATGTCAACTTCATCCCTTCTAAAACATATACACATAAGAAGAAAACCAAAAAAACTTTAGACCAACTACCTTAAAAATTCTGCTCTAGAGTGTTGAATTGCCCAGTCTCTTTTACCAAACACCTCTCATCCTATAAATCAAAACCAGAAAAACCCATCTATAAATTTAATTATAAATCAATTACCAGGGGCTCAATCAATGACTTTCTAGAGTCTTACTGTTTACTGCTTTATTAGATACTGCTGTGTACAGAAGTAGGAATCTACCAGACACTGAGATAATCCAGTATAAAATAAAAACATGAATATCATCACTATTAAACTTGTAAAATACAAATATGTGTGTGTTTGTTTCTGAGAGGGAAAGACATACAGAGGTAGACTCCTTTTCTTCTATTTCGCATATTGAGAAATTCTAGCAATACTTCTCTGCTAGCCAAAAAGTCAGTCTTCCGCTCCTTCTAAATTGTTCCTTTCCTTTTGGTGGGTAGTGTAGGCGTGTGAAGTTCCATTTAGACATTGGGGATAAGCTACATTCTCTAAAATAGAGCTTTATCCTGTACTTGGAGAATAAATATGGCTCCACTAATAATGAAGTAGTCCCCACTTGATCCTCAGGTCTACTCAGTTAGACTCCAAAGGGGGACAGATATCTCATTACTAGATCAGAAGGTAAAAGACGATTTTGAAAAATATCTTGTTGAAACTATCTAAAATTTATTCATATTTTTTATATATATTTATGTAGCTTTCAAGCAAAAAACAAATCACTAAAAGGGCCAGTATTATTATTATTATTATTATTTTTTGAGTTGGAGTCTTACTCTGTTGCCCAGGCTGTAGTGCAGTAGCACACTCAGGGCCAGCGCAGCCTTGACATGCTGGGCTCAGGTGATCCTTCCACTTCAGGCTTCCAAGTAGCTGGGACTACAGGTGTGTGCCACCATGCCCAGCTAATTTTTTGACTTATTGTAGAGATGAGGTCTCGCGCCAAGTTGCCAAGTTGCCCAAGCTGGTCTTGAACCTGTGAGCTCAGGCAATCCTCTCACCTCGGTCTCCCAAAGTGCTGGGATTATAGGTGTGAGTCACTGTGTCTGGCCTGTATTATTAATAACAATTAGCTATTAATTAGTCTTAAAATATAATTTTTCACATAGACATAGAAAGAGTATTGGCTCACAGGGTTGAAAAGCTAATTAAAGCCACTCATTTAGTTAACAATATTTTTCACTGAATTTGAAAAAAAATTATAAAATTTATATGAAAGCATAAAGAAACAAAAAATCAAAGGCAATTTTGCAAAATAAGGTGAATGAACATACTTCACAAAATTAAAGTAATCAACATAGTAGAGTACTGGTGAAATGACACAATGAAATATCAGCACCACAAAAGCTGAGATAGCGGTTGTGTGACTCACAGCTGCCTTCTAGAAACTAGAACAGTGACTGCACAGAGTAAATGTTCCATATACAGTTGCTCAATAAATATATGAAGAGAACCAAGAAGTAACAGACATATATATAGGCATACTTGAAA